TCTGCCTCCCGGGGGAGGGGGAGGAGGCAGGGGAAAGGACAACAAGCGAAACAACTTCTGCAAATTAAAAAAGGAAAGAAAAAAAAATAAAAAGAGGCTCGTTCGTGGGACATCTTTAAAGCTCAGCACCACGCCAGGCATCCGAGTCACAATAAAACCCACCACGCTAGTGAATCTCACCACAGTAACGGGAGGAAAGCTGGCTGCGGCCACTGCGCCGAAGTCGTGCACGCTTTAGAGTCGCCTTGGCTTTCTGACTGGAAGATGGTTCCTGCAGCAGGACCGTGTTGCTGCTGACAAACCGTGGGGTCGTCGGAAGATGCCTTCCTTGGGGATTACACGTGGAGAAAGGCCATCAGTCAAGGGGAGAGCTGGCTGGTGAAACTGTCTGACTTTCCCCCCGCTGGGGAAGTGGCTTCAATGGCTCCATCTCCCAGGAGAAGCAGTAGGAAAGATGCCAACGCCTTGCCAAGCATGTCCTCAACTTTCTGGGCTATCATGATCCTGGCTAGTCTCCTAATCGCTTACTGCAGTAAGTACATATTTGTGCTGGTGCTTTTGCTGGACGTAAATCCACGCCCTTCCTGTCCGATGTAACGCTTCTGGCAAAGGCTAAGCTCTGAAGCTGGCAGGCGTAGGTACTGTGCCTTAGGCGTGCCACCTCGACACATCTCCCCCTCTCCCCCATGGTACAGCAGGCAGACTGACACTTTAATACTGCTGCTTCTCGGAAGCATGAGGTGTCCTTAGTTGTAGATGTGGCATTTCCAGTCCAAACAGAGGCATCTCTTGGATCTAAGAACAAACTTCTTAGTGGTAGTAACCGTGATCCGCTGTTCACTGTTCATTATCAGATGTTACCAGCTCTCTCCCAGACTGCTCCCTCTGTGTACACACTCTCCTACCCCTGTCCACCTTCCATGAACAGAAGCTATTTTGCTTATGTTCATTCCTTTAGGAAGTATATACTTAGTCAAGTGACAGATGTCTTAACATTACCGGGATCATATGTGATTCTCTGACTGTGAAATTGCATTGGAACACCCCAGCACTTCCTTATTATGTCCTCAGCAGTTTAGTAAGCCCATGCTATCAGTTTTAGAGCTTCATCACAGGTTATCGGTAGAATTTTGTATATTCTTTTTCAGGCTTGATAGATTGTCCATTTATCACACTGAGTTGCAGGTAAGGTATCTGTAAGAATCAAGTGCCTGGACTATTAATACTTTTAAAGGTCTTTATTTTTTCTTCTTAGTTTTTTTGCTCTCGGCAAGAGTAATTTTCAAGCAGTTATGTAATATAAATACAGTTAACGCCCATACTTCTGGGGAATGCAAGTTAGTCCGTAGTACCAGAGTAGGAATCTTTCAAAGATAATAGAAAAAGCAGTTTCTATGCAATAATAAAAAAAATAGGTAATTTATTAGGAGGAACCTACACAACTTTGCCAAAATGAATCTACACTGTATTTTCCCAGCCTGAGCTGAATGTGGTCTGTAATTTACCCATAGTGCGTATACCTTTCATTAGCTGTAGCATAAAAGACTTTGCACTAGGCTTGTCTTGTTGAGCTGCAATAGGTGTAGGTCATGATGAATAGGAAATGGATTCTTGTTTTCAGGAGCATGCCTGCTGCATTTCTTAACCCTCTATTCCATTCGCTCCAACCGCATTATATTCTCCATTTTTTAGTGTTTTTTTTTTCTGAAACAAGATTGCAATTGGCTAAGAGAACCTTTAATTCACTTTTTTGCATGTTACAGGGACTCCTCGTACTGACAACAGTGAAAGAGGCTTATTCTAAAAAGAATAAGATATTTGTAATTATTTTTTGTAATTTAGCACATTTTGCATTACACTTCTCATAAAAAACCATATCAAACAGGCCACACTTTTAAATAATTTCGTTTTGTACGTAATGCCATATTCAATGTGCTAATATAGAGGGTATACTAAACAACATACTGAGATTTAAAAGAATTTATGTGCATACTGGGAGATAAGTGACTCAGTAAATGCATATTACAGGATGAATAGTTCAAGTGTAAAGGGAATTCAGCCGGATATTAGTAATAGGAAATATTTCATTAAGTTTGTGCTAGAAATGTCTGCAGGGTCCCAGGCTTTTATGGGAAGATATGAGTTCCTCTGTGCAGATATCTTCTATCAGCATAGCCTCAGAAAGAGTTAACTGTAAACTCTGACACCTTAAACATTATTTATATTCAACAGTGAGAGGATTGACAATGTTCTGTTCTAAGGAATGAAATTGTCCATTTAAATTGTTATATATTGTTCATTATTTATTTTTTGCATTGTTTACTGATGCTGAACAATGCAAATATTAGCCAATAATATGAAGGCAATTTCTGGTGTGCTTCAATGACCGGTTTCTAATTAGTTCTCTCAGCCAGTGTGGATGGCGTGCCTCAAACATGTAGTACGCTCTTCATTCCATATAGTGCTGAAAAGCACCATGCAGCTTAAAATATGCAGTGTCAAAACACTCCACCATTTATGTAATGTTTCACTGATTTGACAGCTGCAATTCCAAATGTTAATGAAGCACCATGAACATTTTCTCTCGTGGTAGTATTGGAAAAACTACAAAAAATGTTTTTGCTCTGTGGAAAGGGTGAAGATCTGTAAAAATTAAGGAAAAAAATGTGAGGCTATTTCTAGGTAAAGTAGTACTGCAAATTTTATGAATTCTTTTAAAAATCATCTAGGGTTTATTCAGTCTTTTTTTCATCCGATGCCTTGTTTTTTGAAGAAAAGCATAACTGGGGGGGGTTGTCAGTTATGTTTTAAGAATAACAGCCTTGCCATATTTCTTAGGAAGTAAAAGAAAAGAACTTGACAATGTAAGGTGTTCTGTATTTTTCCACACACCTTATATTCAGGTATGTGGAAGTATACCAACTTAAATCTCTGATATCAAGCAGACTTCTGTAAAAATCCAATATAGTTGAATACATTATTAAAGTAATTACAGGAACCTCCTATCTGATTTTCTCTCACTGTGTCATTTTACTACATTTACATCAAACCTTGCAGCTCAAAAAAAAAAATCAGAACTTTTGCATATTTTCATTTTTTTAGCACTATAAATAAAACTTTTGATCTACCTTGCTTATTTTAATTTTTAATCTATTGGTCTGACAAAGCTTATTCCTGAATGAGTTCTATGAATGTTTCTTCCCCCTCCCCTAATTACTTTGTGAATCTTTGTTTCTGGGAATGTATTTGTTGTACAATAGTCATCCCTATTACTGGCAGCAACCAGTAAACACCATACTCTGAGTTCCACTTGACAGATAAGCATATTTATAAAGCATGTTCTGGATGTATATGTACATTCCATTAGCCTTTCATTTATACTTTAATTTCTGAAGCCAAATTATATTATCTTTGACGTGGTAAAATGCTAAATTGATCATTTTTTCTTTCTTAAATGTTTGGATTATACTTAGGGATAGTGGCTCCATCCTATGGTGAAAGAGAAGCCTGCAACAAATCAATTAGGTTAGTTGCTATAGTGATAAATATAATGTAATATTCTCCAACTGAAGAAAAATGGTCTGATTTGGTAGGTTCTCAACGGGAGAAGGCAAAAATGAAGTAGTAGAAATAGGCTGGTTTTAGTCCTTGGTGTGACCACCAAGGAGTTAGTTTACTTAACAGAAGCATCAGTAAATGTAAAAACAGTGTCAGAAGGCTATCCTGGTAGAGGGTGACCACCTTCAACGGCAACTCAGAATTAGAGGAGTTGTGACATTTTTGGATCCCAGACATGCATTCAACATACTTGTTTAATGAACAGCGGTAGACCAGAGAGAAGTACCTACAGTGAATTATTTTAAGTTACTGTTTTTATGTTGTGAAGGTACGTTGAATTGGTTTTTTCTCCTTTTGTAACTAGGATTTACATTTTTCCATGTTAGAAAGTTTGGTCAAATTAAAGGAATTTTCTGTGGCATCAAAGCTGCATGCTACATCAGAAATCTAAAAATAACATGGTTTTGATTCAGAATTATTTCTTAGTGCATTTATTCAGTTGGCTTTGCTGTAAATACTGAGGTGCTTTTTATATGTAAATGGTGGCTTTTTAAACAACATATGATTCAGCTTTAGCAAAGTTGTGGCTGTTATGAGCTTTTGGCTTTCCTTATTTTATACTGTTTTGTAAGCATAAGGAATAGAACATTAGACCCCTGTGGTGTTACAGGTTTTGCTGTTCTGTTAAGGTAATACTTCTAAGGGCAAGCAAATGGGTTTTTTGAAAGGAACTATCAAAACTGAATGGTACTTGGAAAGTTCACCACCTTGTTTTAAATATTGCATATGGAAGAGAGCAATACGAAGCCCAGCATTTATGATGACTAAATGGTGATAGTACTAGGAAAAAAGAATTCAAAAGTCCAAAATGCAAAATATTTCCCTTAACTCTACAGTTCTGCATTGTAAGTGCAAGTTCTTTCACAGTAATAAGAAATGGAAAGAGGAAATGTTCTCCTAATTCGTTATTTCTTTTGCTTGCAGAATGCAAAATAAGAACATCGTAATGATGAAATACTGATAGGTTCTATTAAATGACTGATTCTGCAATCTACTATTTAAATCTGTGGAATTTGTTGAGCAGAAAAATCAAGCCCTTAGCATAAATAACAAAAGTGTCTCAAAGATTTTGCATGGTACCATACAAAATGCAGATTATTCCCATGAAAAATATTATATTGACCTCACCTTAAATTGAGATCCTGTTGTACATTGGGTGGACACTGCTCATTTGAGAAACACCTTTTCATCGTCCTGTTCTGGAATTACTTTCTGTCTAGAAGACGCAGGCTACTATGGTCTCTAGGTCTTACTGTTCCCTTATGCTCTTTGAGACTGCCAGCAGGGATGACAATTAGCTGTGACTGTCACCTGGACACCTCTCCAACAGGAGCTACCATATCATCATGCATTAGCTACTGAACAGCTGTTAGATGATAAATGGTCACTGCTGATTTATGTTGGATGCAAACAAGTCACCTCTGAATGAAGGCCTACAGCTCCTCATACTGATCCTGTATCATTCAGATCACTTTCTCTGGTTTTTACAAATGGAAAAAAAAAATTTTAATCCATCCAAACTGATCTGTAATTTTATTATGTTTTCTTCAAGAATTACTGTGCTTGCATTTTTCCAAAACTCCGCAGACAGAATAAATGTGACATTTAGAGCAACTGTCATTATTCAAACTTTTTTCAGTCTAGTTTGTGTATAGAAATAAAAACTAATGATTTTATGACATTAAATAAGAAAAGCAAGGTATTAAAATTTTGTCTCTTTATATAACATATAAACATAAAAATATATATATAAGAACATATATAACATCCCAGCTGCTCCTTTTTAAGAAGGTTCATTTTTTGAATTAAAACCAGTGCTTTGAACTTAATGGCCTCTATAACATACTACCTGTCAATGTGAATACCAAACTGACATTGAGATTGTCTCACCAGTTATGTTGTAGTCTGTCCAGA